TGAAATGTAAAAACAAAGTGAATATCATTTAAGTTGTGGGATTTGTATAAAAGTTTAGTAAAACCACCTCATTGGAAGAGGAGTAGAGTCTGGTAAGTTGTCTTAAAATCACAGGTTATGAACAGATGTTGCATTTATCCTAGCAGAAAGCCTCTTTTCCTGGGATCGTACAGACATATACATCCATTATCCTGCCTCAAGTCCCTCTGAAATATGCTGAATAAAATGCACTACCACTTTTTTCCTGGAATATCCAGTTGTACATCTGTACAGTTATTGCAGTTAATTCTAGACAAGCAGGTCAGGCTGCGTGCGCTTGCTGGCCACCTATTAACAAAGCAGCAGCATTGCCAGTTGGAAGGGTGACATGTAGATGTAGCACCATGTATAATCCCAGTCAAATCTTGGGGAAGTCAGTCCCCAGTCAAATGAGAAGTCTGTTTACAGCCATAAGGAGGTTTCTAGAAACTTCTGAGAAGTAAGTGTGGAGAGCTATTTTCTATCCCTTTACAAAAAAAAGGGACACTAACCTTATTTAGGAAAAACGGTTCTGTTTACCAAATGGCTAGATGGTATAAAATAAGTAAACAGAAGTACAATCGTAACTTGAAACAGTTGTCCCATTTTCGTTTTTTGTAAAAGATTAATAGTCCATGTTTTATTGCTGCTTAAGTTAACCAAGGAAGTTGTGAAAATTCATCTTCAAATAAATGTCACAATGAGAGAGACACCTTAAATTTGAAACGGTTTTTCATTTTAAGATTTAAAGGGCTTTCCTATTTATAAAAAAGATGATGATTTCAGAATGAAGCTTTTGACACAATTCAGAACTTCTGTGTGGCTTTTCAGTTTGTGAGAGAGAATGAGATTTTTGGCTTTTTGTTCCAGATCCAAGATGGGGAGATTGTTGTTCTTTGGGTTTTTTTTCAAAATCTAGTCTCCTACCCAGTTTCACTCCCTATTGAAAGCAAAATAATTCAAACAAAACTATTTATATCACTGTGCAAGACTTTAATTTATCATCTTTTTTTAAATAAAATTTAATATCCTCCTAGACATGCTGTCCAGGAGAAAATGTCCAGTTTCCATTTTTAGGTCTTGTCTATACTTACTTGTGCTGCTGCCAGAACTTACGGCAGCAGACAGACAGCAACTGATGATGCCAAGCTGCCAGAGTGCATGTGCATCCAGCTGTCTTCCTCCTAGAGGTGCTTCTTGTAGCACCTGTCCTGTCAAGAGTGCATCCTGGCCCTGGGAGGGTGGCACCAGGTGCTGAAGGAACTGCAGGAGCTAGCTGAGGATGCAGGTTTATCTACACTTTTCTTCTGCTGAGAAGAGTTAACTGACTGCTGAAAGAAGGGCTCTTTTGTTACAGATAAGCTCTGAATGCAAATAAATGCATTCTAAGTTTTGCCAGGAGAACTAGAATTCTGCCAGCAGAACTCTGTAGTATAAAACTAGGTCTTACTGTAAAACAGTGATGTTCAACTTTTTGAGGCTCTTGACACCCCTCCATACCTCCTGTAAGTTGAGCAGCACCCCAGTTCAATCACCAGTTTATTACAGCACTTTATTCCTGATGTGGGGGAAAGGGGAGGAGCAAGCATTTAGTTTCCCACAGAGCGGCAGGGCAGAGACTACTTTGAGCTTACCTTCCAGCCCTGGAGCAGGAACAGAGGAGTCAGTATTTAACTTCTTGCATAAGAGAAGGGGAAAGGAGAGTGGGGCAATCGCTGAACTCCTCACATTGTGGGCCAGGAGGGACAAGCATAAGCTTACCCAGAGATGAACCTGGGGTGGGTTGGGAAAGGCAAGTGCTTGGGAACGAGTGAGTCCTTATCTTTCATCTAATAGCATCCTCAAAAGGAGCTTATGACATCTCTACTTTACTAATGTAGATTTTTTTTCTATAAATGCATTAGAAAGAACTTTTTGTGCTTTTAATCAGCGATCCCTTTGGAATCGGTTGCTATTTTATTTGACAGTATGTGGTTTAACCACTGGGTGTCTCAAGTGTTTTGTACAGAAAAAAAATCTCACCAGATAGACTAGTAGAAAAAACTTATTCTCCTTTTTAAAGATTTAAGACATTAAAATTTTACTAAAGCAAATGAATCTTTGTTCGTCAGCCAAATACTTTTCTGTTGCCTGCTCACGTCTTCTCTGAAATGTGTAAGCAGCTGGATTATACTTTTGACCATTCCACTCTTCAACATTTTAGAAAAGTAGTAAATAGAAGTTCCCTAGAAAAAAACTGGATTGTTCAATTACTTAATGGCAAACATCACTGAAATTTTGTTTGGCTACTCAATATTGAGGTGTAATAGGTCATGTGAAAGCTTGAAATGGTTTCTGTCTTGTGCCCTGTCAGACATTTAGTTGTCTTTTTGGGACATGACAGATTTTTATCCTGGATTCCAGAAAGAGCATTTCCTGTTATGTCAGATGAAGCGTGTGGCATGGAGTGTGATTTCTGGCATTGAAAACCAAATAAATCAGACCCCAGTTGCACAACTGCTGGGTCATGGGAAGTCCAGCATCTGGGACTGGGTCTTTTGAAGCTGATCTCCCTGTGCACCTGAACACTTAAAGGGCCTTTTCAAGGTCCAGACATATAAGAGACTCCTAGGTACGCAGGCATTTAAGAGGCTGCCCATGTTCTGGACCTGTCAACCCAGCAACAGATTGCACAGTGTAGCTTTAAATGTCCTTGTTGCAGGGGGAGTAGTTAGGCTTCCTTTGCACAAGGGGCACTTTTACACTTGCTCTGGGGTTGGGGGGTTGCACTTTAATTAGAGTGGCTCTGAGAGCCTCTAATAAAAGCGCGGCTGCATCTCTTGTATCTGCATCCCAGTGCTTAAACAGCAATGGGGACACTTGAACATGCTCCAGCAGACTCGATTAATTTCAGCACGTTGAAGCAGCCTCCACACTCATGTATAAGCACCAAGGATATTTAAGCCATGCTGGACTGCATGCCACACTTTCAAATTAAAGCATGATACAAACCAGCTACAAAGCTGCTCCACATCAAACATAGAACATCTTTGTGGCTGGTTTGTCACTATCACAACATAAATTGGCAGAACTTGTGGCATGTTACGTTTTACTGAGCTATTGTGCAATAAATGTAACCTGTGCCAAGACCTATGCAAACATAGCCTGATTTCCCTCTCCTCCCCTCTGCCCCCCAAACTGGGCTTTCACTTCTATGGATGCAGTTTTACATCTTTAGTGAGCTGTGACCATAATGTTTTACTTGCTGTTAGTTACCCAAGTGAATTGGGTTTTAACAGATCTTTGGTAAGTGACTCTATTACTTGTCTCTCTCATACAGAAGTCCTGATTGCCATCCATATTTCTTTTGTTTAATTTTGTCCCCTTCCAATTTTAATCGAACTCTAGTTGGTTGTGGTTTCAGTTAGAAATTGGGCAGGAATATACTGATTAGAGTGGAGAGCCTTTGTGTATACATTCAGATAATGTGCAGGTGGTATGGGGGTGGGGGGAACAAGTGTGAGACAGTTGTACAGAAATAATGCAACGTGTGATACTTTGACAAACTACATGTAAACTATCTTTAAGTGTTTGGCAATGGTTCTCTGTAGCTAATTCTCTCAATTCATTATGCCTAGGTACTGCAAGGGTCTCACATCAGGGGATGATTCTACGAGTTTGCAGCAATTCTTAAGCATAGTCGGGTGAGTTAAGGTTGAACCTCGGTCCTTAACTCGGAATTTTCTTGCTTTTATGGGTTTTAAGTTATTCCAATGACACTTTATATTTAGGCCTGAATCTTTAGAAGTGAAGAATGATATTTTTCTGGATGCCTCAGATTATTTTTTGGATGCCCAAATTGAAGCACCTTAAACGAGCTGAACTTCCAGAAACTCCTGAGTTACGTCCTTTGAAAATCTAATAGGCCCCTTGATAGAAACTCAGATTTGGTCCCTAGAATCCATAGTCAGTCTGAACCTTTTGCTGTAGAATACACCGTGGCTACCTTTTTAAATATCAGTCTTTTATGTATGAATATTGACTGCAGTATCTGCAATATTGAGAAGCTGAAGCTAATTTCAAAGCAAGTGAGAATATGACCAGTTCTCTAAAATGTCAAATCCAGATGAGTGTATGGAACACCTTCTCTTTTGCTTTTCAAAGCAGCCGTAGAGCCACCGTTCCTGTTCATTAAAAGGTTAAATTTCATTGCTAAAAAGGTTAGGTGTAGTAACACATGCGTGTGTGCCTGTGTATGTATGAATCTGCCACTTTGCCAAACTGATTACATTTTTCCTTGCCTTAAAATTAGTGAAGCTAACTAAGTTTTTCATTCAGTCTTAGAATGCTGTCAGCATGCACACATGTTAATAGGCCTGCCAGTTTTAAGGAAATCCAGGATATATTTGCTGTTGGTACAAGTGTGTTAAAATAGTGTTATAGGTACAACTTAAAACCTACAAATGCAAGAGCTCTGGCTGACACTACCATTTAACTTGCCCAATGTGCTTACGCATTGCAGCATACTGCCAACTCTTGTGAGACTTCTCTGCAGTCCCTTTGCATAATGAGCTAAGGACAGGGTTTAGCTTTAAAGAACCAAATGTAGGGGTATAAACGTAAGTTTCCAGAACTGTGTGTGTATATATACTTATATAATCACCTATTATATCCATTTCTTTCAAGCTAACTCATGCATTGATACCACAACTTAATTATTGTAACTTCAAAAGTATCTACTATGTTAAAGGCATTATAGTGGGATATTTAAGATAAAAATAACACTGAATGTGACCAGTATTTAACCAGCTGTTTTTCCTCTTAAAAATCATTTTACCAAGTCATATTAATAATATATCTCTATTTATGATAGTAACAAGCATTACCACTGTATTACATAAGCTAAAATAAACAGATGGGTGACTTAAAAATACATAGAATATTAACAGGGAATAAATGTCTAACTGAAGAAACACTAATTTCTTATTCTCTTCTTTCCAAAGGATTTTTGGATCCCGAAAAGAAACTTTTTTCCCATCGGATATTGTCAAGGGATGAATGTATTGATCCATTTTCTAAGACTGGGAATCTTAGGTAAGTATGTGGCTATAACATGCTATAATGGCTACAAAGGAGAAGAAATTAAACCTAAGAGCCTTCTGAACTCATTCCTTGCTATTCACACCCTCACAATAGAACTGATGGGCACTAGCCAGCTATTATGGCAATCAAATCTAGTTGATGTTTCAGTGGGCACATCTACACATGCTTTTATGTGCCATTGTTTCTGTGCATTAAGTTTAGTATCTGTCATAACAGGTACTAACTCAATGCACAGTAACTGGTGCTACTGTGCAGTGGTGCCAGCTCACTGTCTTTTAAGTAATTAGCACAGCTTTTGCTGTGATGCGGTAATGTGCAGCAGAATTTGTCTACTGTGCATTTAGTGTCTCACATAGATACGCCCAGTGAGACTTGGTTTGTAGTGCTCACAAACATACATTTTTATAAAGACGTTTCAGTCACTTTTACAGTTATAAACCTTTACTCTCTACAATAATTTGTAAGCCACAGATTATTTTATCTTATTGTTCATGGTCCTGTGTTATCTAACTAGTACGGTTTTTTTTATGGTTTTAGAAATTTGTACCGAGACTTTTCCAAGGTAGAAACCTAAAGTTTGACACGTATAGTTATGATTAGCTACTTAAAAAGCATGATGTTTTTCCCCAGATGTGCTGAATGTTCAGCAACTACTTTAGGTCCTTTGCAGATTAGACCACTTAAGCCAGGGGCAGGCAATTATTTTGGGCGGAGGGCTGCTTACTGAGTTTTGGCAAGCCATCGAGGGCCACATGACAGGCAGCCAAGGGCAGATAAATATTAATTTTCTAAATTTTTTAGGGGCTCCGTGGGCTGGATGGAATGGCCTGGCGGGCCACATTCAGCCCACGGGCTGGATTTTGCCCACCCCTGACTTAGACACTTAAATATGGATTTATGAGATGATCTTCCAGCTTTGACATTTTTTATTGGAGCTCATAATAGCTATATGAGTGCTGCTAGGAAAGTGAGGGTTCAGGGTGGCAAATATTCTTTTCTAATAGTAGTTATATTCTTGCATTTTTCAGTACAGTTAATTATTTTGTGTATTGTAAAGAAATACCAACACTTTTTACTTAGTTTTAATATCTTTGGAATTAATTCATGTGAGGGGTGTGCTTGCATGTGTGTATTTGTGTGCACATGCATGCATCTAAGCATGTGCAAAAATGCAAACAGTTCCTCCTCCTCTTTTTCCAAAATCATTTTGTGTTTGGGTAGAGCAGAAGAGATTAAACCAAAACAAGATTTTTTAGATTATTTATTTGGTCCTAAGTGAATTAAGTATGTTAAACCTGGATTGAAACACTCTGCAATAGTCTGTTTACTTAAAAGTTGGAGGCTTCCTATGTCTGAGTGCTGAAACTAAAAAGGAAGAGCATTTAACTACTATTTTGTAAGTTGTCCAACTGCTTTGAATAACTTTAATTGTTTGTAAAACTAAGATGCATAAAAATGACTGCTATACTAACCAGTAAGAACTGTGGTAGATGGTAAATGAATTAACGTTTGAGACTCCTAACATATCTTTTAACAAATCATTTTTATTTAGCCTTCATGCTGTTGACTCGCAGGTGAATTCTGAAAATGAAGAAAGGTTCAAAGAGCCAGTCCCACCAAAATAAGATACTTGCAACATAAGAATATCTAAAGTGTTAATAGCAAATTAAATAGCAACATACAGAAAAGATATAAATGACTAAATAGTACAGATGAGGCTTATCAAGCAAATTTATTAAAATGTGCATCTATTTAAAGGCATAATTTTATGGGTATTTGCATGCAATTTAATCTTAAAATTTCTAAGTTCTTAAGTCTTGAAAAGCCTCTAACAGATGGCCAACTTGTTAGGGAAAGGAACTTCTTACCAAGGCTTCAAAAACTAAGTTGCTAAATAGCACTAACTAGGTACGCTTGCAGATGGACAGTTCAGCAAGAACTGTAGTTCAAGACCAAAAAGCAAACGTTCCAAAGTGGACCTGGTTTTATATTTTATGGCTTGGCTAAAATATCAAAAAAAAAAATACTAAATAAGGTAAAAAATGTTCCTGTAGGTGCCATTCTAATCAATATGTATATGCCTGTTCTTATCCCCTCTTTAAGCTTTATCTTGTCTAAGATTAGCTTTGTCTGTCATCAAACCACTAAATGTACCTCAAGGTGACCTTGCAACATTTACCTTAGTTTTTCAATCCATCTTTCTTGAGTTCCAAAAATGGTTCATGCCTTGTGACATTCTGTCACCTGGTCATTTCTGTCTCCTACTGTAGCCTATAACGTGTATAGTAGTTAATATTCTGATTAGTTGTTCATTTCATTCAAAAGTGTCTTTGGGTAATGAAAACAAACCACTCTTCTTTTAGGAATCTCTTCCCATGTGGGGATTCCATGGTTTGCATTATTGATGACAGAGAAGATGTTTGGAAGTTTGCACCCAATTTGATAACTGTGAAGAAATATGTGTATTTCCAGGGGATTGGGGATATCAATGCACCACCTGGACCAAGAGAAGCTCAAATGAGAAAGAAGGGTAACTCTGCATTATAAATTGCTTTTCCATCATATGTTTACACTGTGGGGTACAGATGGGGGGAAGGGCTTTTGCCAACAGAATTATTTTGGTCAGAGGTGTGACCCAACATAGCTGTGTCAGCAAAAGCCCCCAAGTGCAGATGTAATTTTCCTGGCAGACCTTGTTCTCTTGCTGGTAAAGCTTTACCTTGCTGAAGAAAGCAGCAACAGAGTTGGAATTAGCTGTGCTGGTAAAAGCACAGCTTTGGGGTTGTGTACATCTATATTCAGGGACTAGCACTTGCCTAACAGGTCCTCAAAGCATTGATGACAAAGGCACTGAGTTAGTTGGGAAGCAAGCAGATTTTAGGTATACAATCTTGTAAGGAAATTTATTGTATTTTGTTGTCTATCAAATGTGTCCCCTTTTGCATTTGAGACTGAATGTTAAGTTTAGCAGTCTTAAGCAATTTGAAATATGATAGAGAAATAGGGGTGAAAAGCCAGTGCCTGGTAAGTGGCTGAAATGTAACCTACATACATTTATTTATTTACTTGTACTTAATGAGATGTACAGTGTACTTAGTGTGAGAGAGAGAGAGAGAGATCCATCTCTCTCAATAGATATAGACATAGATATCTGTGTATCTATATAGTAGCTAGTATAGTTAAACTTAAACAGCATGAGCAGTCTAATGTATTTAGTCCCTCTGTGCACTAAAGTGTTAAATCACTATGCTTAACTGGCAGTGTGAATCAACAGTCAGTCAAGTTTACATTACTACATTTTGTTCATAAAGGATGGAAATCTCTGCTGATAATTCTACCCTTAATATTGTTTTTGACGATGCAGAACTAAATAGTCATTTAGATGATAAATCTTTTTCTCTAGTTACAGATAGATTTACAGATTCTCTTTTCTGAAAGGTGTTTAAAAACTCATTCTTTTTTCTGCCCTTTTGCTCTCTTCGTTTAACCTCACTGGCACAATAATAAAGGGATTGATTAGCCTATCTTTATTAGGATGTATTTTTTTCAGTTTTTAAAGTGTTCTAAAGTATAATGAAAAAGTGACAAGTAAAAAATACAGGTGGAACTTTAAGTTTTTTGTTTGTTTTTTTTTGACCGGTTCTGGTGTACTGCCATAGCATAGACTTTCTATATGACCTTGAGAGAAACACTTGATTTTTTTAATGCTATCTCAGAGGGTAGCAATCCCTGGCAATTTTTCTGAGGGTAAGCTAGTACTTGTAACTGGCTGCCGCTACAGGTTCCCAATTTCCTGTTGCCACTCTAGTTGCACCTGCTGTATGCAGAGGGCTGCTCTTTCATTCCCCCCACCCCGGAAAATGTGCCATCAAAAAGCATGATGCACAGCAATTTGGATTGGCTAATTAAGTGGCCCTCGTCAGGCCAGGAGTCTCTTGGTCTGCTGTCTGGTACCATGTAAAGCAGTACAGCCTATTCAGTGGTCGGGTTGGCAGTAACTAAACCAGTGCCCCCACCTGGGCTTGCCTGAGTGAGGAGGGTGTGTGGGCATGCAGCAGGACTTAAAACGAGACCTGTCAAAGGGTGGATGAGCTCCCTGTGAGCCCGCGGTCATCCATGCCTAGAGAGGAGGTGGGTGCCACCATGTTACTCTTCCCAAAGAATCATCAACGGTACAAAACAATTCAACTAACCTACGTGAGTTGTTACAGCATCTTAAGGTGCCCCAATGGTTTCAGCGGCCTCAGGACTAACTTGACTTGAATTAAGTGGCAGTGGTAAGCAGATACTGCAGTGGGTTCAGCCCTTGGACAGAGTAAGCTGAGCTGGGGATCTGGCTGATTATTTGTAAAAAGCAGAATGGATCTGATGGCTGGGAAGGAAGCAGGGAATCGGCACCCTTTTAATAAAATGTGGAATGGATTGGCCCCTTTGCAGGCTGTAGATTACCTTCTCAAGAGGAATAATACTAATTTTGTCTAACAAGAACTTAATACTTTTGAGGCAACTGGACAACGTGGTGATGAGATCAGTATAAACTGAATTTTTCAAAAGGGTCTAAAGGTAGCTAGACATCCCACTTTTAATAAAAGTTGGCCTCCTGATGTCCCTTAAGACCTCTTAAAAATCCCAATTATGAATATTGAACTTGCACTTAAATGTTTCATCTAATGTGTATATATAGACAATTACTGTTTTTACTTAAATACAAAACAGGGTTTTCCCCCCATGAGTGCTGGGGGGAAGAAACCCCTCTTACATTTGTTTACAAGGAAATCTCATTAAGTACATTGTCTGTCATTAAGCTGCTGTCAAAAGCAGCATGTGCTCAGTAACAGAAACCAACTCTAAAGTTGATTAAATACAGCCAACACAGAGCATGACTTACAAAACATGGCCCATACTGAAGGCAACCTACCTTTTAAATATGAACATTTTTCATATTCCAAGCCAAATCGATTCCAAATCCATGAGTCAGTCAAGAACCATAAGTGGCCGTACAACCAAACAACCTCCACCTCTACCCCCACCTGGGGCTTCAGATATTTGGCAGGGGAAATACCATGACCACTAAGGGGGTTTTCCTAGTCACTAAGGGTAACCATTTTTCTGGCATGGGGTAGTACCTGTGGAGGTAATGTATAGTTAATATCCCACTTGCTACTTGAGTGGGAAGATCTTGGCTTTATGCCTACTTCATGGAAATGGGAAACTCCTCCTTAGCTTTCTCCTGCAACCTTACAGCTGAGACCAAGCAAAACTTGGGGGCATCCTAACTCTAAGCTTCTCGGTTTGGGCCTGTACATAGGATGCCTGCCAAAACTGAAGGGAACCTACCACTAAAGTTAGCATAGCCTACTTGTATAAGATACGTTTGGGTGCCCATTGTGTGCAGTCCCTCTCAGTGGTGATGCTTTTCAAGTTGTGGTGAGCCACTACACTGAGTATATTTTTACTTCCTCTTCACTCCCACAGCTGAGATGCACCTTTTTTTTTCCCCCCTTTTCCAATGATGCCTGTTGCTTCACCAGCCTTAAATGCCTGGCAAAGTCAGCAAAGGGGTTCCCAAACAGTTCACCCAAAATCTCTCTGTTGCCTCCTCTCTCAGCCTGTTGCATATGATTAGCGTAGCCCCACCCTCAATGAGATGTTGCTGGGCCAGGCTTCAAATGCTGTTGACTCTGCTGGGGCCCAGCCCAATGGTGGTAAATCTTGAACCTTTTGCTTTGGACTAATATTATGCATAGTTCATACTGTATATAAGTAGGCATAAAAGTGCTGCTTAAAGTGTTTATGGAGTACTTGTGCTAAAACTTGCAGCAGTTTCAAGAAACAGTAAAATGTGTTAATGCTGGATGAACTTAGTCTATGTATACTATATGCAAATTACTATAGGCATGTTTATTCACAGGTTAGTGCTTTCAAATTTGCACCTCACTACCATGTGCTCGGAGAGAGGAGGGTCTGACAGCAAGGTGGGGAAGGCTGCAGGGGGAAGAAGTTGGGGGGCAACTGCCCCCCCAAACTTATTTTCCCTGCTGTAGCAGTGGGAAGGGGACAAATTCATGGCAACCCCCCCAATAATTAGATTCTGTACCTAAAAATTATAATAAATATATACATTTTCCATATATAGAATCTAATTGTTAGGGATCGTCCTATGTTTAGGGTCATTTTATATTTGAGTAAATAGAGTAATTTGTAAGTGAGAGAATGATAACACTTTTTTATTGTTTCATAAAAATCTAATTGGAAGGATAAATGGGAAGTTTTTTATTCTTTTTGTGTTTTAGTAAATCATTCTTCAAAAACACCAGAAGGATCAGATACAACAATGGTAACAGCAAAAGATTCTGAAGAAGCAAAGAATGTTGTTACATGTGTGGAAGAGCAAAGTAATGGTCTCAAGAAATCTGCAAAGGAAACTTGTACTACAAATGGTAGTGACTTTGTAAGCAGTGAATCTACCAACTGTGGGTTGCATTCCAACGATCAAGTTAACGTGCAAGATTCCTTAAGTGATACTACTGATCACAAAGCGGACAGTATAGTGACTGATGACTTGGTGACTGTTAAGGAACCTCAGATTTCACCAGAACAAGATGATAGGACAGTTCTGGACAAGCAGCAGACCCAAGAAAAGGCAGCAAATGATTTGGACTTTGAACTTTCTAGTGACAGTGAAAGTGATAGTGGTTTAGATGCTAGGAAGTCATCCAGTACTTCTGCCTCAGATAGTGAAAATGAGGAAAAGAGAAGCTGGAAGAAATCAAAGCAACCTACCCAAGATGAAAGTTTCCTGCAAGAAAGTTGCACTGATGTCAGTGGGAGAGAGGATGGTCAAGTGAACCATTCTGGGGATGCAAAGTGTCCATCTAGCATAAATCCTCATGAAAAGACCGGTGATCTTGTAGTGCAAGAAGAAAGTGAACAGGACAGCCTTTGCGATCTAGGAAATGGGTGTGCAGACAAGAAGGAAGCTGAAACAGAGTCCCAAAATAGTGAACAATCTGGGATTACAATGGGTGAATCTTTAGACCAGAGTATGGAAGAGGAGGAAGAAGAAGAAGATACAGATCAAGATGATCATTTAATATACCTCGAAGAGATACTTGTTCGGGTACACACCGATTATTATACAAAATATGATAAATTCTTGAAAAAAGAGATTGAGGAAATTCCTGACATCAGGAAAATAGTGCCAGAACTAAAAAGCAAGGTGTTGGCAAATGTAACTATACTATTTAGTGGACTCTATCCTACAAATTTTCCCATAGAAAAAACACGGGAACATTACCATGCTACAGCACTTGGTGCTAAGATTGTGAAGAACCTGATATTGAGTGCTGAAGATCCCAACAAGGCAACTCACCTTATTGCTGCAAGGGCGGGTATGTAAGTGAAATTGATCTAATAACAATATTCTTGTAGTTAAGCTTTTAGTTGTGTGAAATGCTAATTGAACACTTGACCACTGTAGGTTTCAACATAATTGAGGCAGAACTTGATTTAAAGGAGGGGTTACAAAGCGAAAAGAGCTGGAATTAACTCTTCCCACTTTAGAGGTATTTTGCTGTTGTGTGATCAAGAGCTCATCATTCTGATATTGTTTGAGGATCTGTCAGACAGCTCAAATGAAGCATGTGGTGGCTCACTATGACTGAAAGAGTTGACGCTGGGGTGGGGGTTACAGGCAGTGGGCACTTCCATATACCATATTCATATTCCATAGAATAGATGGAGTTGGGGACCCTGATGATTGGATGTACGAGAGTTAAGGCTTCCCATGTAGACAGTTCACAAATTGTGAATGTACAGTATTTCATTTGCAGCCCTAAAATTTAGGGCCATGGCATTTTATGCTTCATAGTGTTCTGCTATAGTTGTTGAAAATATCTTGCTCCAGAACTACTGTGATATTAGTGATTCTTTTTCATCAGCTGAGAATTGAACAATATTTGTCACACCATTAGAAATGTTATGGTGTCTTGTACATAAAATTTACTAGATTAATTTTTAATTTGCTACTTCAGTTTTCCAAAGTCTAATTCATAATGTTTTATTTCAAAGGGACTCTGCTTCCTATGAGTACTGGTCTCTCTCATCTTGCAGCAGAGCAATCCTGAATATGATCAGGATCAAATATTTCCATGGCAGTTTGGCTTAAGATTGAATTTGTTGCAGGATAAAGAGGGATTTGGTGAGGCAAGAGCTAAGAACTTAACCAGAGGTAAACATTTAAACAGAGGGTGGGGAACACTGTAAATTAGTATTTGAAGCCAGTATACAATTGTGTAACTATATTGTCTATTTACTGTCTTTTCCTTGTGTTGGCTTTTTCACATCCACACCATTTGTAGGAAGACACTTCCTTAATTTCTAAGAGGCTGTAGAAAATAATGAAAGAAAACTTAAGTATTGATTTCTGAGTTTTTTGTGTGTTTGGGTTTTGTTTTTTTTAAAAAACTAAACTTTTATGTGCTACTCCTTTTACCTTGCTATTCTAAAAGGCTGAAGGCTTTAGTAAGTAGTGTGTTCTTGATTGTTTGATGGATTTTTGTGTGCACACAGGCACGTGTGTGTTGGTGGTAAGGGAAAGAGTCCAGTGGAATTGGCTGTTTTCTAGTTTAAGCTTTCCCATTGATGTACATCTGTACAGAACTTGTGCTTCAACTTCCAACCAGGCTCTTGTTCACTCTGCTCCTACTTGACAACTTTTTTTGTCATAGGAGCTGTCTGAAGACTTGAAGACATTCGTTAGCATGCAATTCAGAAGGCTATTGTGAACTATCAGAGCTAGAAAATTAATCAGTTTAACTGAAAGCTTTAGTTTTTTGGAACCTGATGCTTTCTATCCCAACATGCACCAGGAGAGAACTTCCTGTTCCAGTGGCTGTGACACTACATTTGCTCTGAGTACCCAGTTTGAGTTAAACTGTGATGGGTATTTGTTTCGTTGGTTAGTTCAATTCTTTAGATTTGCACACTTTACTTACGTAATGTGTGACCACAAGAGTAAATGTGTACTATTGATAATGAATATAGTACTTGAGCTTGTTTGTGTGCATGATTTTTCTGCACATCTCTGGTGACATTGCAAATTGTGAGTATCCAATATCTGTCTATGCACTTGAGCTCTTTTTTTAATACATTTTGTATTAACTTGTTCATCCAGTTACAAGAAGTGTGCTTTTTGTTTTCGAATTGGCTTCCTACCTTTAGCAGCACTTTTTTTTATAATACCCATTCTTAGTTGTATGGCATCTACTTTTATGTCCTGACCCTGATGCATGAATGTGCTTTCTAAACAACTCTTTAAATCTTTCTTTTAATACCCCTTTATGCTTTGCCTGTTGTCATCCATCCAGTGATATACAGTTGTATCTGAGTTGAGGGAGGGGAGATCTGTACAGCAGACTTCACAGATCAAACACTTTTTTTTATTTGTTTTGCATGAAACAGTGGTGACGTGTACGGGGTGCATTTGCACCCCCTGTCAGGCCGCACTCCCCGCTCAGGCAATGGGCAGGCGGGAGCGCCGGTGCCCCCTCATGAATGCCGGCTGGGGAGTGGGACTGCTGCAACCACTTCCAAGAGTGCTGGCCGTGGGGGGACCCTGCCTCCTGCCCCAGGTCTCTAACTGGTCATTGACTAAGGCGGCACCAGTCGCCCATGGCATGAAAGTTGTGCAATAACTAATGTACCTACAAAATTTTAATAATCACCTTTTTATCCCTTCTCTTGTGTCTCTTTTTTTTGTTGTTGTTTGTTGCTTAGTTGCACCACATTTCAAATTGGATTGTAAATTCCTGGACAAGAGCAGTGTGTTTGGGCAGTACTTTTTCTAGGATTGCCCTGATGGGCTCTACTGCAATACAAATGATAGCTCTTATTTATGATGTTTCCTTGTGTACAAAACCAGCGTCACATACTAGGGAGCCAGAAAAATATCCTTAAATTCTTTGTAAACTTGGTAGTGGTTTTAAAAAATATGTATACAGTGGACCTCAGTACTCCTTGACTTGCTTGAATAGGTAATGTCTGGACATATTCAGTGTTCTCTTGGACAATTACCCTCCTTTATATAATTATAACTTTTGTGATTTAGTAAATTCAGTGTTGTTAAAGGATAGCTGAAGAGTAAAGTGTTTAATGCACTTAAAGTGTTTTCAGTATATAATCTTGTTATGAGCATATGGTACTTTGGAAAAAAAAATACAAGTGGAACTCAATTTCTAAGACTGTTGTATCACGAATGTCTTCACTGCCTGTGCGTCCTTCAGTGAGTCATCTACTGCTGTCAGTTGTTAATATAAATAATAGATTTAACTTTAGGTTTTAATTATACTAATGTACTGTTGCATTAGTTGAATAACATGTATTATCACTCTGAAAATGAATTCACAACACTGTATTGGAACAATTTTATGATTGCAGATTAATTCATCTTTCTTTCTCTTATTTTTGCGAAGGCTTTGTGTCTTCCCCAGAATATGCATGAAATTTCACTGATGCTCTCAAGGCTTAATACTAGGAAATGTATTCCAATTGTAAGTAGCTAGCTTTATTGGAAATTACAAGTCAAATACCAGTACCAAGCTGTCATGCTGGTATCTTTATCAGTATTTGGAAGTTGACATTTTTCTTCTTATTAATGTAGCTGTCTTATGAATCCTGTAAATCAGAAAAGAGAACTTTCCCTCCATGGAACTTTGCATGTTTAGATGAGGTCATCTTTTTTTACTTGCTTAAGCAGGAACATCTTGTTTTTCATAACAGTCTAACAAATGCCTGTAACCATGTCAGACGGAAAGGCTGTTTTCTGTAGTGTAAGGACAGTCTTGTACCTACAGGTGGACACTTAAAAGTTGCACAGTATTCATGAGACTGAAAATTACTACTTTTTTCCCCCTGTAGAAGGCAAGGATTTTTGTGGGTGATATCTTGGACCATCATGATTTCAACCTCACTCCAACACTAGCATTTTTTCCTTCTATCTGTAGACAAGAGTAGTTATTGTTATGTCATCTTGGGCTTATGAGTAGAAATTCTGAGCCAAGGTTTCTGAATTCAGAATTCTGAGTTCTGGTCCAAGGTTTTTATGTGTGAATGGCCCTTGCAGTACAGTTGGAAGCCTGTTGCACCCCTGGGACCCCCGATGACCCCCAGCCTAGCCGGAAGTAAGTGGGGGCCTGTTGTGGGAGGGACTTAGCCCAGCTGCAGACTCCTCAGTCTGGAGAAGCACAGGCTCAGGGGTGACTTGGTGGCAGCCTATAAATACATAAGGGGTGTGCATCAGGATCTGGGGAAACATCTGTTCACCAGAGCACCCCAGGGGGTGACGAGGTCCAATGGTTACAAACTCTTGCAAGACCATTTTAGGCTGGACATAAAGAAAAGCTTCTTTGCTGTCCAAGCCCCCAAGACCTGAAACAAACTCCCCCTAGAGGTGGTGCAAGCACCTATTCTGGACGCTTTCAAGAAATATATTTGGATGTTTATCTTGCTGGGATCCTTTGACCCTAGCTGACTTCCTGCCCTTGGACAGGTGGCTGGACCCAGTGATCTTATGAGGTCCCTTCCAGCTCTAATGTCTACGAAATGAAATCAATACAATCTGTGTGCTTATGCAGCTGTCTGCATGCCTTTTTGTACTCATGCTAAGCTTCCTGTGTGAGTTCTCCAGGTGTATCTCTCTGTAGGTTACAAGTCAAGTTTTAGCTCTAGATTTTCTGTAGATTATCTTTCCAAATGAATGGCAGATGTCATCTTGCACCTAGGCACAGTGAACAGCAGTAACAAAAGGAACTGGCTCAGAAGGTGCTGAAATATGGTTTAAACTTTGTTGTTTAATTAATTAAACATTTAGCCAGAGAAGCAGATGCAGGTTCAGAGTATCAGTTGGAACTTTGTCCATTATATTCACATTGAAGCAATGTTAAAACATTTTTCACCCTCTTGGTAAACCTTTTGGGGCTGCCTCTGACCAACGCACAACACAGCAAGTTAGGACAGGTTGGTGGTGTTGCAGTATACAGGTTTCCCTCACCAACCACTAGGGTTATGTTTCTGAAAGTTCCTGTGCTTGGCAGAAAGGTGATGCGTAGCCACGGAAAACTGTGTTTACTTCAAAACTGTATACCGTGGTAGCCAAAACGGTATATAGAATATTAATCATGGATACTCAGAACTGTGGTTAGCAAGGGAAACCTGTAACTGTAGAAAAAGGCCCTGGTGTGCTGTTTAGGAAAAGTGTTGCTGTTATTCCCAGTAATAACATCAGAGTGTCAATGAGAATTTTTCAAAAGACTTGAATGTGTGCTTCTACACATACAGTGAGCTGTTGCAGACAACTGACCCAAGAATCATCTGGGTACTATGATGGATCACA